TTTCCTACATGGGATTTATTTCTGAATATTTCTGAGACAGGCCTCAGGACATGCCCAAGGAGTATTCCTTCATCAAATAAAATAAACATTCGCAACAAGAAGGGGAATACTTGTATCTACATCTACTCTGGAGGTGGGGTGGGCTGGGCGGGAGTAGGGATGTAAGCGACTTTTTGACTAGTCAACTATCTGATAAGCTAAAGCTTTTCTGATAGTCGACTATTCCCTTGACTAGTTGCTGCTTCTATCAGAGGCGGGGGGTGGGAGGTGGGAAGAGAGCAGGAGCCGGTGCTGGGGGGAGCCAGCTTAAAAGCTGATTCCCCGCAGTGCTGTCTGTGCAGGGAGCAGGTGAGGCAGAAGGTAGCGGGGACTGGGCATGAGCCAGGAAACAGCTGTGGGGGTAGGGAGTGGGGAGGAGCAGAAGCCAGCATGTGGCTCAGCTGGGCTGTGGGGTGGGGGGTGCCAGGAGCCAGCACATGGCTCAGCCGGGCTGGAGGGGGAGTCAGGAAACCTGCGGGGAGGGAAGTTGGGTGGGGTGATGGCAGCAGGGGGCCTGAAATGACTTCCCCAGTCCAGAAAAATCCCTCATCCAGGACAAGTCAAGTTCCGAGGGAGCCAGACCAGGGAGGTCCAAACTGTACTGAAATAAAAGTAACTGTACTAAAGCTAAAAATTCTCTGGTTTAAGAGCAGGGGTTGATGGCCTTTACATTCTGGAATTCACTTTCCACATTAGTTCATCAGAGATCTCATGGGTTGACTTTCAGGGACTAAGATAGTATTTTTGTTGGGTTTTGGAGAAAGGCTGGGTTGCAGGATGTGCTGGTAACAAGCAGGGTAACATTTCTGGAGTAGCATTTGCTACGGTGGAGGATAGTCTTATATTTTAGATTTCTCTCCTTTGGCTGCATGAAAGAACACTCAGAGCTATAGAAAGAATCTCTTTTAATATGAAGAAATATAGATTTTGTGACGTTCTTCCAGATCTTGCCTCATGAAAGGCTCTTTGTACATGTAAAAATGCATTATGATTTAGAGATAAACTCTTTCTGTACTTCTTTACATTTTCTCAAAAGCATTTCAAAGTTTAAACTTAGGAAATCTGTAGTAACTATTTTTAATGAAGCAAACTGATTTCTTTTTAAATTAGATACTGGCAGTCATTTCCTTTGCTAATTATTAATATGAATGCCAATGAAATATCTATAATGTTTCTAGATGTTGATTATTTTTCAAAATCCTGTCAAAAAGCATCTACAATAATAAATAAAATCTACGGTGAGAATGAAAGCTGAAAAATAATATACTTGGAAAACAGCTGCAGAAAATAATGACGAGCACATTCTTCAACATTTTGCCTAATATATATATTTGGTACAGCGTGAACATCATTGCTTCATAATAACCTCATAATTTTAATGATGTCAGCTTCTAAGATAGTTTTGTAAGTGCATATCAAGAACAGCACATTAGATCCTACAGCTGCACACACAAAGGTAATTGTGTGGAGGATTTCTGTCTTTGAAATTGGGCTTCATTCTATTTCAGAACAAACCCTGCCAAGTTTCAGAGTTTTCCACAAAATGGAATGGAGCCCCAACTCAGAGAGACAATCTGCCTTGGAAGTCTAGGAGTACCCCAATTCACAGTCTGGCAAGTGACTGACAATGAGCCAGTGAGGTGAGCTGTTGGGAAACCTGGTGGAGGCGTGCCTGACAGAGACTTTTAAAACCTTCATTTCCCAGGGAACTTTGTCAAGATCAAACTGTCTGTGAAACAGTTTAGTTCTGACAGATTGTTAACATCTGATGAAAAAAAACGGTTTCATCTGAATTTTTCTGAGCAGTTCTAGCAGGTACATTGCAGTGTTATTTGATCTTGATGGAAGAGAGAGTGAGTTTGGGACCAGGGTGGGAGGAAACGGGAACTCTTGAGTTTCCAAAGTAGTGAACAGAAAGCAGATGGTTGAGATAAAATATAGGGGAATTATCAAAATGGAAGGACAAAAATTCATAAAAGCATCTTAAGTAATGGCTCGGTTATGCTTTTCAGGTAAAACCTTCTTCTCTTCAGGCTCCTCATAGTTTCCTGTGTTACTGCTTTCTCCTTCCTTGTCTTCCTCTCAGAAACCTCAGCCCTGCCCCAGTCCATTGACCACATTACTCCATCTTTGAATTCCTCTGTTGGCACCTTCTTCTCCATTGTCTCATCATAGTCAGGCTTCTAGCACTCTGTTCCTTGCTGCTTATCTGCCCCCATATCTCACCTCACCACCCCTCTACATCACTGATGTTGCCAGCTCTGTCCCTGTGCTGATACACTTTTCCACAAATACCTTCACAATTTCTTTCTCCCTGCCTCATACACATGGAATGCCCATTCCACAGTAGTCCACAAAGTCACTTAGCCAGTTCTCCTCCAAATCTTACTTCAAGAACTACTTTTATCACAATGGCAACTAATAAGGGGTAGGTGGAGGGCCAGTATGGCTTACTGATATTTATACACTTAAGATACATTTTAAATAATTATCCTGAAGTTGTTGGTCCCTTGCTGGTTTTGAGGGGTCTGTTACTGGATGCTTTGCTTAAAGTGAGTATATTTCTACAAGCTATGGAGAGTGCCAGAGCTCTCTGCTCACGTTGGCAGACGGCCCTGTCTGAACTTGGGGGCAGCCTTTGCTTCCTTTCACCTCATTGATTAAAATCAAACTCAAAAGCAAACAATTTCCTATGCTTTCTACATCCCTTCCTTATTATTCACAGGGTGACCTTTAGGGGGAAAAGGTTAGTGCTGAGACACTTCACCAGTGAACTGTTTTCTAATTCAGTTTGTTAAATGCAAATAACCATAAATAATTATAAATTCATTACCAAGCATGCTGTATACTTCCCCAAGCAAAAAATTATAACAAAGTATTTTTGCATGTGATTGAGCAAAATGAACAGCTTCCATAAGGCAAGGCATTTGCGTTTCAATTTATCTTTTCCCTCATAATAGCACCATTTGAAATACATTTGGCTAAATATGGGAACTGCTCTTGTAGAAGAAATCAATTATATTCTTAAGTTTAAATCTTCTTTTTTCCAGTTATGCTCTAATGTATCACTGTACCTAAGAAATGTACCCCAGGGAAAATGCTACTATTCTTCACTAAAATCCATGAATAACATTATGTAAAAATTAATTTATGATAAATGATTTAAAATCTTAACCTAGGATGGCTTCCTATTCAAATGTCATCAGAAAATGACACCTCACCCGCAGAAAAGAGTCAAGGGATCCATTCTCCATATATTCAACCACAATCATTACTGGTCTGCCTGCAAAGACATCAAAGGAACACATTAGGATTATAGCTATATTAAGGGTTTGTTATATTTCCAGCTGTTGCAAACAGATTATTTTCATTACCTAAAAATGTAGCTCATTTTCAAAACCTTCCTCTACAGCACAAATGCCTGCATTGTTTTATTATTCCTAAGCAATGTTTTCAATCAATATTTTCTTTATTTGAGGCATCGAAGTAGTTGACTGCATATAGTTCATTTTGGCTGTATTTTCTTTTCTTTAAAATAATTCATCTAAAGTCCTCAAGTCCAAAGAGTTACCATTCTTGTACCCGTCAGTGGGGGCAGTAGCGTCTTTGACATAAACGTGTATTTATTACAGCTATATTTCATAAAACATATTTTTAAAAACAAAGAAAAAAAAAGGAAATTCATAAACCAATGGAATCCAAACTCTGCTCTGTCAAGCCAAAGACTTTCTATGACTTTATTTACTGTGAAGGCAAAGAAATCTCTCCTCTATGGTGTGTATATGTGTGCCGATAGGGGACGGGAGGAAAGAGGACAACTGCTTCAAAGTGGGCTGGGTCTCCCAGTTGCCAATGCCACAACTGTCAGTGCTTAATTTTAAGTGTGAGTGACCCATTTAAATCAATGGAACCATTCATGTATTTTTATAGTAAAGCATTTGCTTAAATGTTTTACCAGTTTCGGGGGGTCTATATGGGTCTCTTATGTACCATGTTCTACTTGACTAATGCACATTTTCTAATTGGTTCTCTATTGTGTTTAGAAAAGAACCGCTTAGAAACCAATTAACATTATATAGTTTTTAACAACATGTCCAATTTGCCAAGTTTTACATTCTAACTGCTGTATGTCTAAATGGCATCTTATTGCTGGTATCCAAGCATAAGCTGTCACTCTAAGAACTGCTAGCAGAAACAGCCCAATTTACCTGCTAATCAGGGCCCACAGTGAAATGTTTTAGAATGGATAGTACTACTCAGGGCCAACTAATAAAAAGCAAGATGAAGGTAATGAATGAGCATGCACGCAGGATTGCTGTTCTATCCATTTTTTCCTCCTGCCCAATCTCTGTTTTTCGTCAATGCCTGTATCTGGAAGGGTCTATGTAAAACAGGACTTTTAACAACAGGTGCAGTCATGACTCCTCCCATTTCTTGCTAAATAGTCCTAATAGCTTCAATTCCTTCACAAGTCCTTTTGTAGAAGCTTTCCCCAATTAATTGGTTTTGGTTGGCTGTCCCTGGAGTCATTCCTATTTCTGGAGATGGAGACAGAATTTCTTGTGGTCGCAAGTAGAAAAGGCTGACAACAGACTTTGCTGGGCCCTGGCCAAGGTGGTGGCGGGGGCTCAGCTCCAGGCCCCTTGGAAGGGGTGGGGCATTGGGCAAAAGTGGTGGGGCTGGATGGTTAGTCTCCCCAACCCAGCCCTCAGCTCAGACTGTGCCACACTCTGCTGGCAATTTAGAGGGCCCATGGTTCCGACTTCTGCTGCTTCCTTGGTAGCGGTTTGGTGCCCGCTAATGTATCACTGTACCTAAGAAATGTACCCCAGGGAAAATGCTACTATTCTTCACTAAAATCCATGAATAACATTATGTAAAAATTAATTTATGATAAATGATTTAAAATCTTAACCTAGGATGGCTTCCTATTCAAATGTCATCAGAAAATGACACCTCACCCGCAGAAAAGAGTCAAGGGATCCATTCTCCATATATTCAACCACAATCATTACTGGTCTGCCTGCAAAGACATCAAAGGAACACATTAGGATTATAGCTATATTAAGGGTTTGTTATATTTCCAGCTGTTGCAAACAGATTATTTTCATTACCTAAAAATGTAGCTCATTTTCAAAACCTTCCTCTACAGCACAAATGCCTGCATTGTTTTATTATTCCTAAGCAATGTTTTCAATCAATATTTTCTTTATTTGAGGCATCGAAGTAGTTGACTGCATATAGTTCATTTTGGCTGTATTTTCTTTTCTTTAAAATAATTCATCTAAAGTCCTCAAGTCCAAAGAGTTACCATTCTTGTACCCGTCAGTGGGGGCAGTAGCGTCTTTGACATAAACGTGTATTTATTACAGCTATATTTCATAAAACATATTTTTAAAAACAAAGAAAAAAAAAGGAAATTCATAAACCAATGGAATCCAAACTCTGCTCTGTCAAGCCAAAGACTTTCTATGACTTTATTTACTGTGAAGGCAAAGAAATCTCTCCTCTATGGTGTGTATATGTGTGCCGATAGGGGACGGGAGGAAAGAGGACAACTGCTTCAAAGTGGGCTGGGTCTCCCAGTTGCCAATGCCACAACTGTCAGTGCTTAATTTTAAGTGTGAGTGACCCATTTAAATCAATGGAACCATTCATGTATTTTTATAGTAAAGCATTTGCTTAAATGTTTTACCAGTTTCGGGGGGTCTATATGGGTCTCTTATGTACCATGTTCTACTTGACTAATGCACATTTTCTAATTGGTTCTCTATTGTGTTTAGAAAAGAACCGCTTAGAAACCAATTAACATTATATAGTTTTTAACAACATGTCCAATTTGCCAAGTTTTACATTCTAACTGCTGTATGTCTAAATGGCATCTTATTGCTGGTATCCAAGCATAAGCTGTCACTCTAAGAACTGCTAGCAGAAACAGCCCAATTTACCTGCTAATCAGGGCCCACAGTGAAATGTTTTAGAATGGATAGTACTACTCAGGGCCAACTAATAAAAAGCAAGATGAAGGTAATGAATGAGCATGCACGCAGGATTGCTGTTCTATCCATTTTTTCCTCCTGCCCAATCTCTGTTTTTCGTCAATGCCTGTATCTGGAAGGGTCTATGTAAAACAGGACTTTTAACAACAGGTGCAGTCATGACTCCTCCCATTTCTTGCTAAATAGTCCTAATAGCTTCAATTCCTTCACAAGTCCTTTTGTAGAAGCTTTCCCCAATTAATTGGTTTTGGTTGGCTGTCCCTGGAGTCATTCCTATTTCTGGAGATGGAGACAGAATTTCTTGTGGTCGCAAGTAGAAAAGGCTGACAACAGACTTTGCTGGGCCCTGGCCAAGGTGGTGGCGGGGGCTCAGCTCCAGGCCCCTTGGAAGGGGTGGGGCATTGGGCAAAAGTGGTGGGGCTGGATGGTTAGTCTCCCCAACCCAGCCCTCAGCTCAGACTGTGCCACACTCTGCTGGCAATTTAGAGGGCCCATGGTTCCGACTTCTGCTGCTTCCTTGGTAGCGGTTTGGTGCCCGAGGCCCTTTTAAATCACCAGGCCCTGGGACAGCTGCTCCCTTCACCCTTTCTCCCCCTCATTGGTGACCCTGCATCTAGATGAGAGCTTAACGGCTGTTAGGAGAGAGTAAAGACTAGGCTGAAATGACCAGTTGTGGGAGTGTCCATTCAAATAAACCCGACCACAGTGGCTGAGAACTTATTTTGACAACCAGCATCCCCTGCATTGTGCTTGGGTTTAGCTGATAGACAAACACTGCATTGATGTTGATCTCCAACAAACACTGGGACAATAGTGATGTCATATGGAACAAAGACAAGGCAGACTGTGTATCATCTGCATATTGCTGGCACTTGAGTCTATGTTGTGTTACTGGTTCTTTTAGATGTTACACATAGATGTTGAATAGCAGCAGAGAGAGTGAGAAAAAGAGGGGAAGAATAGATCCTTGTGGGATTCCAGAAATGAGATTTCTAAGTGTGGATTTGCAGTTTCCCATTACAATTCTATGGCTCACACCATTTATCCATCTAAAGGAGGGTTACAGATTTTCAGGGGAAGACATATCTTATGATGAACTGTGTCGAATGCTGCAGAGGTCCAGAAGAATTTGAATAGGCAACTGCCCTCTATCAATCAATAGCAGCAGATCACCCCACATAGCTGCTACTATGGTTTTCCATCCTGGTTTGAATCCAGATTTTGCTGGGTCTAGGACAGTGGTTCCCAACCACTGGTCTGTGTTGGCTCAGCACTGGCGCAAGCTTTGGCAGGAGGAGGGGGAACAGGAGGCGCTTTCCCCCCTTCTTTGCATTTGGGGAGGGAGAGGGCATGAAGGAGGAGGAAGGAGGTGTGCTCCCAATGGCTGCTACTCCTGCTAGGGCTGAAGCGGCAGAAGGAAGAGATGGAGGAGGAGGTACCTCCCTCCCTCGGTAATGGCGGCCCGTCCGGGGCTCTGTGCTCTCCCCTTCTACCAATGGGGGCACAAGACATGCTTGGGGAGGGAAGGGGCCTGAAGGAAGAGGGAGCATGCAGCAGTAACAGAAAAGGTCCCTAGGAAGCAACCTCACACTGGGGAGTGTTGGAGTCGGGGGGGGAAGGGGCATTGGGTGAGGGTCATGGGGCAAGAGGCTGTTAGCATGGGCTATAGGGGTCTGACGTTAAAGGGTCAAAGGGCACAGGGGTGGGGGTCAAAAAGTGTTAGGAACTGGGGAGCAAGGGGCTGGATTGGGGCTAGGCGGCCAGATAACACTGTATTTGCATATTTGCATATTCACTATTTGCATAATGTGCAACTATGCAAATGAAATGTTACCAGTCTGCCAAAGAAAGGTTTGTGAATAAGTTTGCTGGTCCCTGGCATAAAAAAGGTTGGGAACTACTGATCTAGGATGTTGGCTTCAGTTATATACACTTGTATGCAGTCTTTGTTTCACTTCTATATAAGCCTGTTCAGGAACAGAAGATTGACTCTGGATGGTAATTAGCTAGATGCAAAGTGTAAAGTCCAGGCTTCTTCAGTGTTGATTGTACTACCATATGTTTGAAGGAGGAAGGGACGTTTCCTTCCCTGACTGAGGCATTAACTTAGGTGTGTGCTCCAGCCCACAAGAGAGGAAGAAGAGGGGGGTGAAGCATCAGTGCAGGCTCCCCAAAGCTGGTGTGGGGGAGGGGAGAGCCCTGAGCCTTAGGGGCCAGATCCAGGCAAGCTGGGGACCGCACTCCTGCATTAACCATTTGAGTAGTTTTTGGCCTATAACATGGCATTGCTTCACTGTGCTCCTTGCTGGAGCCATTGTGAGGCATCACAGGCCTAAACTCAGGTTCAAAGATCCCTAGGCAGCACACAGGCAGGGCCATCCTTAGGATTCATGGGGCCCTATTCAGTACTATTAAACTGGTGCTCCTATGCCCAACGGCAGCCGGGGGGGAGGGGGGGGGGCATTTTTTAGAGATGTATTTTATAATCTTCCTTGAGATACTAATAAAATAATTTTAAAGCAAATTTTAAACTAAGGTCCTGTGGATTATCACAGTAAATTCAGAAACTGACAGTATATACTTGGGGTTGGCATATGCCTGTTAAATGGCTTAATTACCACTTGAATGGTTCTTTCACAGGCTCAATATTCTGCTAATAGCTCTGACAGGCTCTTTCACTTTTATGTTAACTAGAGCCTCTTTGGAGGAAGCAGAGCCACAGAACAGGGTTAGGAAGAAGCAGGTGGGTAGACATTAAGACCCAGTGGTGCCCTAACTTTTTGAGTGCCGTATACAACTGTGTATTCTGCTTAGACATAATGTTTGCCCTGCACTCAGGCCATAGCTGCTACCCAATAGTTAAACCTCCATTCCTTTATGCAGAGAATTTGAAATATTTGGGTCATGTTCTGAATCTAAACAAATCCAAAGTCTGAATATTGAAAACCTCCATCCAGTTTTGCTCTTCTCACAAGGAGGGTTCTGAGACATTTAAAGGGGTTGTAACACAGGAAAAGGAAGGACAATTTGACAGTTATAAACACTACAGAAATTCTCTGGCCTATCAACAGAGACAGAGCAAAGAGTAAGTAAATGTCTACATACAAAAAGCCAACTTTGTTGGTAGATAAGCATACTTTCTCAGAGCAAAAGCATATAAGAGCTGTTGTGTACCAATTTGGAGCAGAGTGAGGGCTGAACTACCTGGGAAACCAGACACTGAAGCAATGAAAAGTAAACTATTTGCCTGAGTGTTGGATCTAAACAGCAATGCCAACATGTATCTTTTGCAACTCAAAACCAAGCCAGCACTTGTACAAGCAGATTTCATTCTCTTATGTAATCTGACAAACTAAAAGAAAACTGTACCCTTTTTACTTAGTCCAACAGTCCAAACAATAATAAGCACTGTTCAGTTTGAATTTACTATGAAATATATTTGAATAAATTGAATGTCTTTGAGTTAAGAGGTACTCATCATATGAACTTTCATACTGCTAGATGTTTTACTTTACAGAACCAGATATTATATGCAGCAAAATTATATTAATCATTGATGAAAACACAGTATTTCTCATTGTTATCCATTCATTCAAGGGTACAAATTCCAACACAGGGCATTGCCAAGCTGCGTGATAAGTCAGCATTCAGGCCTTTAATTTAGATGATATACTATATACAAATAAAAAATTAAAAACACATATGAGAGTTCTTTTTGCTCCATACACCTTAGAAGGCTTAAGAACATATTATTTTACATGTAATTAGCATTCATATAGGTCAAGAAATACCTGTTTCAATGCAAAGTACAGGAAGGACATGATTTGTTAAAAGCACCCATATATGCATTTATGGCATCACACAAACAGAAGAGATGCACCTTTGAAGATCTGCAGCTTGTGTACCCCAAGAATTCTCTCATAGTTCACAAGATGTAAAATCCTATTTAATCAGTTAACTATTACATTTAACTGGTAACTGCTTAAATGAGGGAGTAGGGGGTCGCTCGAGCCCGTCTGGGCTG